ATTCTTGTCTCTTTAAACAGCCCTGCTGCTGGCTTTAACATCCGCTAAGAGGGTGAGTGATTTATCTGCCCTCTCTGTCATTCCGTCATGTCTTAGAATTCAGGCTGACAGCAGCTCAGCTGATTTAAGACCAAACCCAGCTTTTATGCCTAAAAACATCACGAGCTCTTTTAAATCAAGAGCGATATCGTTGGAGGGGTTTTTCCCTCCCCCCCACAAATCAGAAGAAGAAGCATCTTTCCATCTTCTCTGTCCGGTGCGGGCGTTGACGTGTTACATAGCACGCACAGCTGTAATGCGCCAAACTCAACATTTGTTTGTGCATTATAGAGATGCATCTGCAGGTCGCCCATTATCCACCCAGCGCTTGTCACACTGGCTGTGTGAGGCCATTTCTGAAGCCTACAGATCTTCAGATTTAGAGCCTCCTGTCAACCTCAGGGCGCACTCGAACAGGGGTATCGCATCTTCGACTGCCTTGCATAATGATATGACAATGCAGGACATTTGCACTGCGGCCACGTGGTCAACACCCTGCTCATTCATTCGTTTTTATCTACGTGATGTGACGGCCCGTTCCATGACACATTCTGTCCTTAGTGCTCTAACAGAATGAATATTGTTGTTTTCATGGAACTCTGTTTAAGCTCACATCTGTCTGCATGCTTTACAGTGTGAGATGTATTATCAGTCACAAGTTGTGCCTGTTATTTTGGTTCTATTGTCACTAATCAGTTCATGACTATTGTTACCAATCAGTTCATTTGATTAATAATCAGTTCATTTGTTATTATTAATCTGTCTATACTGTTCAGCCATGAATGCATAGTTACACAACATGCGTCTGTGCATGGCTCACATAATTACGCAATGCGTAATTACACACATGGGGAGCTGAGTGACAAGGCGTTTTTTGGGCAAGCTTCTGCTTCATACGGTGTTCGAATGGACCCAGTGAGGCGAGGACCACATCTGCTTCGCCCTTAACCCACCAAGCGAAGGCCTTAAAGGGCGAAGCTTATACGACATAGAACGTTGGTTACGTACTGTAACCCCAGATTCTATGAGTATAAGCGTAGCCCTTTAAGCGTCGGGCCTCACTGGCTCCTAAATGGCTGAAGAAAAAGCTATTTTGGGAGCCGATTTCCCGCTCTTAACGTAATTTATACGGACCGGGTAGGGCCCACACAGCAGGTGGGCGTGGACTAAATTTTTTCAGTGCAATGCTACGCATAACGGGATAAACCCACCAAGTGACAGCTTTAAAGGGCTACACTTATACTCATAGAATCTGGGGTTACAGTACGTAACCAACGGTTTCTACCGTGCAGATCCGACTGAAAGCCTTTTGTGGACCATTGTGGTGTCTCAGATTTATGAGATGAAAAGGACTGTCCATCAGGGCATGAACAACTCGTCAGCAGCTCTCTCCAGACTACGAGGAAACAGTTTCATTTTTCACTCAAGCATGGACAATAGAAAATTCCATCTGAATTTTTTTAACCAGTCGTGTTAAAGGCATTGTTCACAAACTTTGTTATCAAAGTGCTTAAGAATAAAAATCAATGGCAGTAATTTAATGAACATTTACAATGTCAATGAACAATGTATTTGTGTATGTTACTGGTACGTTTTCTGCTGTGGTTGACTGCTGGTCACATGGCCTCAAGTAGGAATTGTGGGTAAAATTTACCAGTATGTTCATTTTTTTAAATAATTTCGGTTACCGTAGGTGTTTTGCACTGGTCCCTCCAGTGATTACCGGTAGTCTGTTTTTAGTCAAGTTTGTTTTCATTCAGTAGGTTGTAGGTTATTTAGTAGAGTAACCATGGGCCAGAGAGGGTGTTATCATGAAGACCTATGAGGATCAGCAGTGTGTGTGTGTTTAAAAGCAAGACAACGTCTATGGACCGCCATCCGGTGGTTGATTCTTGTACAACAAGAGCTGTACATTCTGTTTGGAATTGTGCATCTTTTCTGTCAGTGTTGCCAGATTGGGTGGTTTACTGCCAATTGGGTGGTTTTCATTCTGATTTTGCAGGTAAAAATTGCTTTTGGCGGGTGGGAATAATGGGTGGATTGGAGTCAGATCAGCGTTTTTTGAGTTAACCTGTTAAACACATTTCAAACAATCATTCATCATTATTGGTTCATTAGCAAAGCTCCTCTGACCTTTCTCCAGGGCATTCACAACAGAGAACTGGTGAGGCAGTTTTAGTAGACACCTCGTTGAGTGGGCTGGCCAGCGGGGCTGGCACGTTGCGGCGGTATGTCGGAGCGGCCGCCATATTTGCTGTGGCAGAACTGCGGGTCAACTGATAGAAGGAAATGGACTGAACTTCATAAAGCACCGTTCTACAAAGTGTTTTATGTTAATGCCTGTCATTCACACACACAAATATATTTAGAAAACAAACAGGCACCAAAGACAATATTTGTAACTTTTAAAGTGATTATTAAAAATGTTTACTCCTTAAATGTTTTGGTAAAATGTAAGCACTAAACCAACATGTATTATTTTGAGTGTTTACAACTACTAATGTGTGTAACACTATTACTGTGGTGATAAATCTAGAAATATTCACATTGTCAAAGATGTGCTGACTTCAGCCTGCTCCTATAGGGAACAGGCAAGTCAAGACATGTTATTCTGTGTTATTCTGCTTGTTTCATGCGCTGCTTGTAGGCCTCGAAGCCTTGAATAATCAAAACCATGTGTAGAGCCACACATACACTCACACACCCCATAAGCACGAATGTATATGACACACAACTACACAGGCTCACTAAGACGCACACACGCACAGGCTCACTAGGAGACACACATGCGCAGAGAGAACAGCAGAAGCAGAAAATGTTTTTCTTTTTAATAAAAATTACCAGTTTCAGATAAATGAGAAATATGTGTTTATAAAAAATCAATAGACAATTAAATAATCAAGTGATATTATAAACCTTGTGATTTTAAAATGTAAACATTATGATTTTAGAATGTAATCTGTTTTTAAGCTTGTTCATGATGATTGTTGAAAGAGAAAACCTGTAGCTTCACGAATGTTCTGGAAAAGAATTACACAAGCTAGGGTATTGCTCAATGGGGAAGTCCCTGAACCAACTCTGGGCGAATCAGAATAGGACAACGCAGAATGACTGAGCATTATTGAACAAAATACACCCAGATTTTAATATGCATTAGGAGTGACTGGCAAAACCTCATAAGAGGCCTATAAATTCGGACCAAGGTCCAACCCAAAAGGGATGGATTAGCCTGATGGGGTGACTGGTCTGGAGATGTCAGTCAAAAATCTCAGGCTATATAAACAAAAGTTTCAGTGAAAACTCTGCTGTTTTGGGGATCCACTTCACGAGCGAGGGAGCTCAGGACAAGACCCGGAGGACCTCTAGACGAATTGTGGATTAATAGGGCAATTTTGGACGGTCTCTGTTGGAGAAGGACTAGGGTGAAATCCGTTGGAATACGCTTCCTTTTGGAACTATTCATCAACCCATCAGCCCGGATTATTCCTAAAATCCTTTTTTTTCAATTTCAACCAGATCGAGGACCAGGAACGGCCCACATCCGAGAGAGAGATGGGGAAATTTGCCTCTTACTAAATTCAGAAAACATGGTAAGGGGACGTTCCTCAAAATTAGTCCTTAATAAAACCTTATCTCAAATTAAAACAGCGGTGTATGAATGGACAGGCAGAAAAATCAATTATGTTATAAATCTGGTTGCTCAGAGTTGTAGAAGGGTCTTCTTTGTGATGAGAAATAATGTGTTGGGTCAGGTAGAGAGAGTAGGTAAACTGTGTGGGTACTTGTGTTCTTGAGTGAGACCGGGCGTGGCTGGCCAGACCAAAAGGAGTCCCAAGCTGAGCAGAGAGGAGTTCAAGAGCCCGTCTCACGCCCATCCACAGGAACGGGAATCTACCTTGCCCAAAAAAGGTCAACAACTGGAAAAGGAACTAAGAAGTGAAAATTATTCATCATGTAATCTCTTTGTAATCGAGTGTAATCATTATTGTGCTATACCGCTGTTCCCCTGCATATGAACGCTGGTGGGTTTCATCCCGTCACGCGAAGCGTAGCACTGAAAACTTTAGTCCACGCCCACCTGTTGTGTGGGCTTCACCCAGTCCGTATAAATTACATTGAGAGTGGGTAATCAGCTCCCATTTTTCTTCAGCAAGAAACCAGCACTGATTTTCAAAACAAGAACGCGATATCCAGCACCAACACAATCCGCCTGTGCCCATCCTGCAAGACCGGCTACATGCTGAGCTTCAACCGGCATGACATCTGTGAAGGATGCCTGGGTCTTTGCCACACCGACCTCACCTCCTCCTGCCTTCTCTGTGACCTCCTCCCTCCTGAGGAGAGGCAGAGGCGAGCAGACTTGTTCAAGGCTAACATCGAGGAGTGCCCCTCTGTGTCGGGGACTGTTCGCTGGACAACGCCATCGGCTTTTTTGACGCCGAGTCACAGAGTGAATCGGATGATTCCTCCAGGAAAGGCGACGTCAGCAGCAGCCCCGCTGCTCATTCCCTCCTGGATAGCGTAGTGTTGGAACGGGGGGGTTGGGCAGATGCTCACCCCCCACCCGGGCCTTTCCGCATCAGCAAACACACCGCTCCCAGCCGTCGGTGCCCTCCTCTCGGAGCTGCCTGGCATAATCCAGGATGCGGCTTACACAAAGGGACTTTCCGTCCCTCTCCTCCCCCCGCCCAGATCGGATGATCTAGCAGGAATGTTTGGCTTCACCCCAGCTCGCCGCCCTGACCCCATCTGGCCTCGTTTCCCAGCAGTGATGTCCTACTGGAACGAGGCTGCAGCCAGACTGGGTAGGCTGAAGGCGCCTGTCTCCACCTTCGTTCCCATCACCAGAGTGGAGGGGTTTACTGAGCGGAATTTTCCCTCGGTACCCCCCCTGGAGCCAAGTCTGGTGGAAGCACTCAGGGCAAAAGTGTCCAAGTTGGATCAGCGTCCTGTCCCTCCAGGGAGACACGACCAGACGGTGATGTTGCTCTCCAACCAAGCCCACCAGTGTGCTTTCCAGGTGGCCACAGTGAACAACAATGTCGACCTGCTTGTCTACAGCATCTCCAAAAGGCTGGAGGACACAGACCTGCCTGAGGAGATGAGGAGCTCGCTCTGCAAAGCGTCTGATGTCATCCTCAACCTGTGCACCTCCTCTGCTGTCTGCCTGTCTCACATCACCGCCTGGATGACAATGATCCAGAGGTCCACCTGGCACCGACACTCCCCCTCCTTGCCGGAGAAACTGCAGAAAGATCTGCTTGAGGGCCCCATCATGACGAACGCACTGTTCAGGGCCAATTTCAAGGCCATGCTTGAAAAATCAAAGAAGTCGGAGGAGGTGTCGGAGACTGTGCATCACCTCCGGACCCCTCCAACAACAACCCCCCCCCCCCCCCCCCGCGATGGAGAGATCGTCGTGGCCAGAGGCAGCAGCATAGACGTTCCACAGCTGCAGCAGGGTCCTCCCGCCCCGCCCCGCTCCGCCGCCGCCGCCGCCGCCCCCTCCCGCCAGAGAACAGTCCTTCTCATCACGGCAACCAGTGGCTCAGCATTTCCCCAGAGACCGCCAACAGGCACCGCCCTAGAACAACCAATCGCAGGGCTCACGGGGAGAAAATATAAGAAATGACTCCTTGCGTAGGACATGTGTGTGTGTAATGATGATATAAGTTTTAAAATAAAACGAAAACATCATTCAGAGAATAAAGTGTCTGATTCCAGCCTGACTGTCAGATCGAATGATCTCACAGCGGCTTCTCTTCACACATCTTCCACACAAAACGAGCCTGTAACCTCAAAACAGGTTTTTAAAAGTCACCGCAGCTCGAGAAACCACACAAAATGCTCGCTTGACACAGCAGCTAAAAATGATTCTTCTCAGCAGACCGAGTCCAGAAGAAAACCTCGCTCTCAGCCCAGGTTGTGTGTGTTCTGATTTTTCTGACCACAGCGGGAACAAACGCGTTTCCCCACGACAGCTGCAGTCTCCACCCAAACGGCGCTGCATTTCTAAAGGTGCTCACGCCTCTCCTCAGTGCGTGTCAGCTCACATCAACTCTAATGTGAGCCCGCAGCCTGAGCACAGCACAGAGGCGTTCCCAGAGCCCTTTCAGCGAGGCCCCCTCATGTGTCGCTCGGAGAGCATCTCCAGAGCATATGACGGCGGTGGGGGCTTTGACTTGGCTGACGTCCGTAAAGGACATGACACAACACAAAAACGCGTGCCCGCTCCCCGAGCGTTACGCAGAGTGGCAGCGAGTGTGCTCCCTAGACAGATGGATGGACCATCTGATCAGCAGAGGTTACACGCTGCAGTTCACAGCTCAACCCCCACCGTTCAGAGGGATTATAGAGACGGTTCTGTCATCTCCAGAACAGAACTCGTCTCTCCACGCAGAAGTTCAGGAATCACTGATAAAAAATGTAATTTCCAGGGTTCCCAACGGAGAAGAAAAGACAGGGTTTTACTCACGTTACTTCCTAGTTCCTAAAAGGACCGGAGGAACGAGACCAATTTTGGACTTATCCGTATTCAACGAGTCGATCATGGAGAGACAATTCCACATGCTGACAAACAGACAGCTGTTGGACAACATTCACTAGAACGACTGGTTTACCTCCATAGATCTAAAAGACGCCTATTTTCACATTCCAATCATTCCAAAACCCAGAAAGTTCCTGCGCTTCTCCTTCCAAGGGACCCAGTACCAGTACAACAGGCTCCCGTTCGGCTATTCTCTCGCACCACATACGTTTTCAAAATGCGTGGAGACGGCTCTGCAGCCGCTACACAGAGCAGGGATGAGAATCTTGTTTTACCTGGATGATCTGCTGCTGCTGACCCGATCCAGGCAGGAAGCAGCTGCACAAACCAAAGCGCTGAAGTCACACCTGTTAAACCTGGGTTTCGCCATAAACTGGGAGAACAGTTCAGTTCTCCCGGCCCAGATGATCGTTTATCTGGGAGTGGAGCTAAACTTAATCACTAAGAGGGCCCGTTTATCACAGACGAGAGCCGAAGCTCTAAAGGACCAGCTCTGCCGCGTAAAACCTGACAGAGTAGTAATGGTTGTCTCCATCATGAAACTGTTGGGAAAGATGTCGTCAGCTCACGCTGTGGTTCCGCTGGGCTTACTCCACATGAGACATCTTCAGAGGTGGTTCGCTCGTCTGCGTATAGATCCGGTACGTCAGAAGAGGCGGATGATCTCTGTTCCCCCCTCTGTGGGAATCGACCTGAAGCACTGGGTAAACCCTCTCACTCTGTCGGAGGGAGTTCCTATCAGCAGACCTACATCACGTCTCAGTTTTCACAGACGCGTCCATGTCAGGCTGGGGAGGAACGTGCCTGTCTCAGGTGGTGGGGGTGCTGTGGCCACCTCACACATCAGTTCATATAAACGTTTTGGAATGTCTCACGGTTTTGAATGTGATTCAGCATTTTGCTCCCCTGTTGCGGAGTCAACATGTTATGATCCACACAGACAACAAAGTGACTGCAGCTTACTTAAACTGGCAGGGGTGCGTGCGCTCAGCCCAAATCTTAAGCATTGCGAGGCAGCTGCTGTGTTGGGCACACAAAAACCTGCTCTCCATCAGAGCAGTGTACATCCCCAGCGTCCTGAACAGAGGAGCGGACATATTGTCCAGGGGCGGTCCACGCCATGAGGACTGGAGTCTCTATCCCGAGCTGATTTCTCGAATTTGGAACAGGTTTGGCAGAGCAACAGTAGATCTGTTTGCCACACGGGAGAACACCCAGTGTCAATTATGGTTCTCACTGAGCCCATGGGACGACCCACCGTTAGGAGTAGACGCTTTTGCCCACAGCCCGTGGCCCAAAATGCTCTTTTACGCATTTCCTCCAGTCCCTCTAATATCACCGTTTCTGAATCAAGTTCGGGAGGAAGAACTGTCAGCCATTCTGGTAGCCCCCGAGCGCGTGAGCGCCCCGTGGTTCCCAAACCTACGACGTCTGTTATCGGTCAACCGTGGAAACTGCCGTGGAGGGACGATGCTCTACTCCAGGCAGGCGGAGCGATCAGGAGTCACCCAGAAATAGGCCAGCACCTTTGGGTTTGGCCGCTGAGCGGATCTGCTTATAGAAGATGGGCCTCTCTCGGGAAGTGGTGCACACAATCCAAGACTCACATGCTGCTTCCACCACAGCGCTGTACAAATCAAAGCGGACAGCTTTTCAGCGTTGGTGCATGGAGAAAGGTGTAGAGGCCATCTTATGTCCACTAGGTGGTGTGCTGTTTTTTCTGCAGCAGCTGATGGACAGAAATCTGGCGTTCAGCTCAATTAAAATGTATGCTGCAGCCATTTCCTTGACTCATTTAACATCTTACCTCCACATCAATCCGGTTTCAGGAAACAACACAGCACAACCACTGCTTCACTGAAGGTTCTTAATGATGTTGTTGAAGCACTGGATGCTAAGGATTATTGTGCTGCACTTTTCTTAGACCTGTCTAAAGCTTTTGACACTGTGGATCATAACATCTTGTGTCATAAACTCTCAGAAATCGGTTTCTCAGATCACACCATTGGTTGGTTCTCTAACTATCTTTCAGACCGGAGGCAATGTGTTCAACATAATGGTACTTCCTCCAGTTATTTAACAGTCAACAATGGTGTACCACAAGGCTCAGTCTTAGGACCCACCCTCTTTACAATCTATATACATAATGTAGGTAAGAACATCCCTAATGCATCCATACATTTCTATGCTGACGACACAGTTGTTTATTGTCGAGCTAAAACTGTTGCTAAGGCTTTCCAGCTTTTGAAATCTGCATTCAACATCATCCAGACTGATTTGTTTCACCTCAAACTTGTCCTAAATGCCGAAAAAACCAAAGGGATGCTTTTTTCAAATAGGAAGTTGGTCCCAGCAGTTCTTCCTCCGATTTTATCCTCAAATGGTGTCCCCATTGAGTTTGTTGATTCCTATAAATATTTGGGTATCTTGGTCGACTCACATCTCTCTTTTAAGCTCCATGTGGAAAACTTGATAAAGAAACTGAAAGTTAAACTGGGTTTCTTTTTCAGAAACAGATCCTGTCTAACCCTGAATGCTAGAAAACGCCTTGTATCTGTGACTTTCCTTCCCTCAATTGATTATGGTGACATTATTTACATGAACGCTCCTACAAGAACCCTGCAGATGTTGGATGCTGTCTATCATGGTGCACTAAGATTCATAACTGGCTGTGATTATCGTACCCACCACTGCACCCTGTATTCACTGGTTAACTGGACATCATTAACTTCACGCAGACTCTCTCACTGGTATATTTTCATCTTTAAATCACTTCTTGGTCTGCTGCCTTCATACATCTCCTCCTACATGTCTCTGCGTGAGTGCAGCTACGGAGTGCGCTCTCAGGACATTATTACCTGCAGTGTTCCCTCAATGAGGACTGAACTAGGCAAAAGGGCCTTCTCCTATTCCGCTCCTGTTTCCTGGAATATCTTACAAAAAGATTTGAAGCTCTCGACCTTGACCTCTCTAAGTGTCTTTAAGAATCTGTTGGACACTTGGCAGGGTCCAATGCTGACATGTTCCTGTTTTTAGTTTTCTACATTTGTCTTGGAATCTAGCTGTTTTTTGTTTTGTTACCTTTTCCTTTTAGCCATCCTATTTGTTAAAAAAAAAAAACTGTAGTATGCTTTTTTATAACTGTTAATTGTTGTTGCTGTTGTCCATTGTTGTCATCTTTCTTTGTTGAAATCAGGTCTCTCTTGTAAATGAGTCCTTGAGGCTCAATGGGATTTACCTGTATAAATAAAGGTTGATTGATTTCCTCCTGTCACGAAGGCTTCGGTGACGGAACAGTTTTTAATCACCCGCTGATTAAGCATTTTTTAAAAGGTGTACGGAGACACAGACCGGTGTCACGCCCACTAGCTCTACAGTGGGACTTGATGGTTCTGCGAGCCCTGATCAAAGCTCCTTTTGAACCTTTAGATTCAGGTTTCAATTAAATTCTTGTCACTTAAAACATCCCTGCTGTTGGTTTTGACATCGGCAAAGAGAGCGAGTGATTTATCTGCGCTCTCTGTTGCCCTGTCATGCCTCAGAATTCAAGCTGATGGTAGCTCAGCTGATCTGAGACCTAACCCAGCTTTTATGCCTAAAAACATCACAAGCTCATTTAAATCGAGAATGATAATGCTGGAGGGGTTCTTCCCTCCTCCTCACAAATCAGAAGAAGAAGCATCTTTTCATCTCCTCTGCCCTGTGCGTGCGCTGGCATGTTACATAACACGCACGGCCACACTGCGTCAGACTCAACGTCTGCTTGTACATTATAGAGACGTCTCTGCAGGTTGCCCGTTATCCACCCAGCGTCTGTCACACTGGCTGTGTGAGGCCATTTCTGAAGCTTACAGGGCATCCGGTTTAGAGCCTCCTGAGAACCTCAGGGCGCATTCGACCAGAGGAATTGCATCTTCGACAGCTTTGCATAATGGTATGACAGTGCAGGATTTTTTTACGGCGGCTGCATGGTCATCGCCTTGTTCATTTATCCACTTTTATCTGCGTGATGTTTCGGCTTGTTTCATGGCCCATTCTGTCCTTAGTGTTTTAACAGAATGAATCTTACTGTTTTCATGGAATTTTGTTTAAACTCACATCTGACTGCATGCAATTACAGTGTGAGATATTTATTATCAGTCACAAGTTTTGTGACTGCTGTTTTTGTTCTCTTGTTACTAATCAGTTCATGACTACTGTTACCAATCAGTTCATTTGATTACTAATCAGTTTATTTATTATTAATCTGTTCATATTGAAGAGCTGTTGATCTGCTCTGTTCACTGTTACACGGTTACAATTGCAACCTCTGTTTTTCCCCAATCTCGGCAGCAGGACTGCTTTCAGCTTTCCCCCTTTTCCCCATCAAAAACTTTTTCTCTCCGGGGCGCTTCTGTACATGGAACGCGTAATTACGCAGTGCACTTCTGTGCATGTTGCGCGTAATTATGCAGCGCGTAGTTACGCACATAGAAGGCTGAGTGATGAAATGTTTTTTGGTGCAAGCGGGCGCTTCATATTGTGTCTGAACGGACCCAGTGAGGCATAGACTACATCCTGCTTCGCCTTTAACCCACCAGCGACAGCCTTAAAGGGCGAAGCCTATATGAAATAGAACGTTGGTTACGTACTGTAACCCCAGATTCTA